CAAATATTGTGAAATTTTTTCAAAATATGAATTAAGTAGACAGGTGGGATGTGTAAAAGAACATACAATACCTAACTTGTTGAAGAGGGAGTACACATACATTCATAACATTTGAAATGGATTATTTGTATCTTGATACTCTCGTAGAAACTCTACCATTCTTATTATATTAAAAAATCGAACAGGTACATTCACCCTCTATATCATTTTTTCTTGTCAACAGTGGAAAAAATATTTTTGAAGTGTGAAGTTTTAATGACAGAATATGTATATTATATTTTTTAATATGATAGAATAATACATACTTTATAAATCATAATTTTCTTAGTACTTGGTGGGAATATCAATCAAATTGTCAATTTCATTTGGCTATTTTGCATGCCTTACAATCACATTAGAGATGTCATTTTATACCTTGTTCTCTGTCCATACCATGAACAGTAACTGAAAGCTATCTGCAAAATTAGAGGTTGCTTCAATGAGCAAATGACAAATATTTTGGCCTTTTTCAATGGAAAACTTGAGGCACAGCAAATTCCATGTATTTGGAATGTTGCTTTAACACTTTCACAAACATGAAGAAACTCATAATATTATATACATTCCCAAATGAATCTCAATGCAACTTCAGTGAATTCTAAGAGAATATATAAAAGAATAATACGAAGGAGATAATCCAAAGATTTTATCTTATATTACAAGAGTAATTCAAGATTGTTAAAAGACAAGCCATTAATGCAAATGTTTGCAAAACTCCTTACTTATTGTACTAAAAGTTCTTTTGATAATACTAAGAATGACAAGAATATATTGTTCTAACAATAAATCCCCTAGTAGTGACACAAACATGAATTAAAGCATTATTTAAAATATAATGAAATCATCTTAATTAAGAGCAAAAAAACTGGAAATAATTTACTTTTATGAGTCAAGTATCCCAAAGAATTCTAAATGGCTTTATTTCTTTGGTGTACTACAATGTGATTTTGTTTTATTTTAGTTTATCCTACAAATAGAAAATAATTTATATTCTACTTAGTAACTCTACAATACTTAAATAAATTTTGAAAATTTAAGTTAGGTCATACAATATATTGAGTATAATAATTTTCTCATTAAAAATTTTCAAGTATGTATTATCTTCAAATTTGTTATACCAGAAGTTACATTCAAGCTCTATGAATAATATACTTGTAAAAATCTGTTTTCTACTATTACTAATTTTACTGCAGCTTCAGGAAAACATTAGATTTCTCTTTATATAACAATGGATATACGTATTAGAGCAAAAGGAATTGTAAGAGTATATCATACATTGTAACAACATATCATAGAGCAAGAATTGACCTTTGTACAATAATTATTTCCAAATGCATGAATACTTTTAGTACTTACTATTATATATTTTTTTATACACGCTACTGAAACAGTTCTAGTCTTATAGTACATTATTCTATATGTATATGTGAAAAAATAATTTTTGTGTCAACATCTTAATTCCTGGACAAAGTGTATCAGCAATAAAAATGCAATAATTGCTAGTTCATTAAAGGAACTCTAATTATGAATTACCTTAATGCATATGATTTCCAATAGATATCTTATTATCTCAGTACTGCAAAAATATATATTGTCATTTATGAATTTTTACTAAAAGTTCAAAATAAGAAAAAAATATTCACTGTCATAATATTTTTGTATTTACAGAAGGAAATTGAAGAAAAAACATAAAAGAAAAGACCTCAAAAGAGGCTTAGAGATATGTATTGCTATTCACAGCAAAGATGCAAGTCATTGTGATGAAAATGATGATTTATCAATCTTCATTACATTATTTTTTAAATTTCTTTAAGAATTGAGTCAGTCACTGTTCATTACTCACTTCAAGAATGCTTTGACATCTAACTTAAAGAAATTATTAAATCATGAAATGTATTTCTTGTAATATTTTTAAAGAAATTTTGGAGAAAGCAAATCAATTTTGCTTGTGCTGATGAAATTCATATTTTTTATTTTATACTTACCAGGACTGAAAACTCATTCTAAATTTGTATGAGAGTTTGTAGACTGTTTGAGATTAAAAAGAAATCAATGGTTAGTTAGTCACCTACATTATTCTGTTCAGTGTATTCATTTACATCATATTTAACCCTTAGCTCATGGTTGTACATTACTTTCTTAGTGTTAATTCAACTAGGGTGAAAACAGCCATGAGATTGGGCGATATTAACATTTCTATGATTACTGACTACATTTGCCATAACAGAATTTATATTTTGTATTTTACTGAGGGACAAGTAAGGAATTTGCACTTATTACCAGTGTTCATTACATTTTTTTGTCAAGAAGTTAGTATTGACTCTTGAGTAATATTCAATATTTGCAACTGTTCTCATTTTGTGACCTAAATTCATTATATTTTATTTTTACTAGTGGATTAATAAGATGACCTAAATGAGACCTTTGCTGGCTTCAATAATAACTTAAACCAATATTTAAAAATAGAAACAACTTATTTCACACTTTAAAGTGAAAATAAAATTGTTTTTTACTTTGCAATATGTATATTATTGGCTATCCATTTAACATGTGCCATGTTTTTAGGGCGTTATCTTTTTTGATTTTGTCTGTAAGAACTGGTGTGAAAATAATATTTTTCTATCTATATTGTTATTTAACAGTTTTGAAAATTTGATTGAGAGATTTTTGTGGTTGAATACATTTGTAAGGCAGCTTATAAGAGTAACTAGGCATACTAATGAGTAAAATATATGCATTTTCCTATAATTTTATCATTATATTAGTGTTGAAGAAATGGATAACTTATTCTGTTTCTGTTCATTTGAAAAATATATTTTTATAAGTCCAAGGTATAAAGTCTGTTTTCTCAGTCACAGTTTTAGAACATCATAAAAGAAAGAAAAATATTTTGTTTGAATTGTTTGGGTTATTCTTCATTCCAGGATATCTTTTTTTAATTTTTATAAACAGAATTTTAAGTTTTAAAAATATGTATTTCAAATCATTCTTCATATAATTTTTTGTAAATATAATGATAGAAAGACAAAATTTTTTTAGTGACATTGCTTAAAGAAAAATATTTGCTCGGATTTCACTTGACAACAATGTTTTTTCAATTTGCTGGGAGTATTATATGGTGCTCTGAATCTGAAAATGATGTTAATATGTACATCTAGTTTTTTAATAACATTCATATTTCAATGTATATTATCATAATGTATATATCAGTAATGTATTTTGCTTCTCTGTCTGTTATGCTCAACAATCTTTTTTTAAGAATGGCGCAAGGAACTTCACAATAATTCACTGAAAAGCAAGAAATGCTGAGACATACTGCAATATGGTTCTTATAACATTCATTGCCAATACATTGTGTCATTGTCACTACTTCCTGTTCCCATACCCTTTTTTATCTTCTTTTTTTCCTTTATTGATTGAAAATTTTCTTGCTGAATTTCTCGTAAATTCAATTATTAATTTTCTCAAACACATTTTAGATATGTTGCAAGAATATAAAAACAGGAAATTTTGTAAATATTTGTACAAGGATTGATAACAGAAAACTCAAAAGTCAGTTGTGTTTTCATGGTATATCGCATTTTATTTATATCTGCTAATTTTTGTTTAGTGTTTTCTAAGGGGTAAATTTGAATGATAGCCATTAATAAGTCTGTAAAATTTTCACACTAAAAATGTACAATTAGGTTAGAATATTGATACTTTACTGGGAGACCTCTCAGTAGTTGGCATGAATTGGCTGATTATGCCCCAATTAATAATTTCTCAGCAATTATAATTCTCAAATGTACAATAATCTAATATTTATAAAACTTATTATTTTAACACTACTATGTATGATTGTTTTGTGTAAAGAATTTTATAAAAAAATTAAAATCAATCACTAATGCATTTTAATATAATTTACAATCACATCCCAAGAGCTGGCCTTTTCATCAAAATTTTGTAAGAACACAAGTGAAACTATAATTTTCTGCCCCAAATTATTTGATAATTGTCACTGCCAAGTTTAAGAAGTAATCTATGATATTTTTTTTTCTAAGAAATGTTTAAATATTTTTGTCTAAAATTTTTAAGTTTGCTAAGATACCTCAATGTAATCATGGGGCTTGCTTTATTGGACAGTATTACTGTCCAACAAATTTATTACGGACAATTGATGTATTAATCTTCATGCAAACAATGACGGTTATTGCCATGTTTCAAAACATCATTAATTTTTCATTACTTAAAACAGTAAGGAAGAAACAAGGAGAGAAAAAAGAGAGGAAAAACAACAACAGACATTGTATGCAGTCTAGCTGAGATATGAAGGCACCGCTACTGACTGCCCAATGAATTAGCCCAACCAGATGAAACAAAACTATGAATGCTTTAAACTACGGTTTCTTATTAAGATCTCTTCGGATATCATTGTTAAGAACTAGAAGATGCAAGAAGCAACATCATCAGAGATGTTTATGCTTGGGTATGTATTAACAATTTATTTACATCAATTAACTGTACAGTATCATTTCCGCATGAACCATACTCTATGATCAAGTTTCTCTCTATGATTAATGGTACTACACTATTATTGCACATACAAAGAGTATTTCTCTTAAATTGGAGGACAAGAAAAATAAATGAGAAAAGAGGACACAATGGCACTTACACGGGAGTTTCTAGCTGATGTGCCAAGTACTCCCACTTGTACTGTGAACTTCTCAAAGTTAATATGCATTTGTTCCTTGTTCCAAAAACATTGAACACCTACTCATTTCCATGAAGCCTTCATTTCATGTACTAGGTAGACTGTGCTAAATATCTTGTAATGTCCTCAATAAATGTTATGACATTATTTAGAATTAGTTTTTGAGAATCTCTTTAAAGAAGACTTTTGAGAAACTTTTTTATGATATCCCTGAACAGCAACAATAATACTTTTTTGTTATCATTGTTTTGTTGTTGTTGTTGTTGTTGTTGTTGTTGTTGTTGTTGTTCTAGGTAATGTATTCTTATACATTTCTAAAATGTACATTTTGGATTGTGCTTATCATAGAAAAATAAGTGTATGGTATGTGTTCAATCACAATTCAAAAGATATTATTGATAAAAATTAAGGTCAATGGGTATACCAAATAACCTGATATGATATAAATATCAAAAAATGTTAAACCAGCTTATTGAAGTGAGTAAGAAAGTTTTAACTTGCCAGCTAGTGTTTCAGTTGTATGGATTAACCAACATAGCAGATTTACAATTGAGTAACGAAAATCCACTACTTTTTGTTTTGATGTAATGAGTTTCTCTAATGATATTTCTCATGCTGTAAAATATCTTTGACCATAAGTATTAAATGACATGGACCCCAAGAAGTTTATATTGTTAGATGTTGCCAATGGAGCCACTAACAATATATATCTTATTTACAATATTTTGTTAGAATCACAAAATACAAATTTGTATTTCATATGTATCTATGTAAGGTTGGAATTCAAAATTCTGTTTCAACAGAATATGGTCCCTGATTTCATTGTGGTGAGATACAGTAACACTCAGAAATATATTTTATAGAAACTCTTATAGCCATTTTAATTATTTCCAGTTTTTTCCTGGGCATAGAATACATACAAATTTCAAATATATTTCTTTTTCATGATGCACTTTGTTAACTTTTTCATGGTAATTCTAAATTTCTATATTGCATTTGAATTTTGGCCTGCTTTTTAACAATGTGAATTAATATGGTTTAATAACTTAACACAAGAATACAAGAGAAAATATGGGCGAAACAACTTCAGTTGATTCTTAATGCATTACAACAAAAAGGAGAGATGTGGAATGGATGGTCTGTAAGATATTAAAGCTTATCAGGCCTTTTGATACATTTACAAATGATAAGAAACAAAGACAGAAATCTGAGTAACAATATTTTAACACTAACAAATGTCAGTATTACATGGAATGATGAAAAAATAAATTTTCAATCTACAATCTCATTTCAATTCTCAAAATAATTGTACTTACAGTTAGCTAAGAATATCACATTTTTAAAAATTGAGTGACAAAGCATATCTCCTTTAAAAAAGTTTATAGACAGAAATTTCTCTGATTGATAAAAATAGTGTTGAATGTTTTCAAGGGTGCCCTTTGCATTCTCACAAGTTAATGATGTTGCATACAATTCTTTCAGTCAAAAGTCTTTTCAAATGAAATACATGAAAACAACATGACATTAGATTTCAACTTGCATACACTGTATACAAGCTACAGAGTGTTTTTAAATTCCACCTATTGATTTTGTCTTTTTCCATCCAAATATTATTTGTGAACAATACTCTACATCCTGCACCTTTGTGAATACTGGAAAATATTTTTAATCTCACAATATTATTTTTTATTTCACTCTCTGATATACATTTTTTAATTCCAAATATTGTGTTTTTATTGACTTTGTGACACAAAATTTCTCCATTAATGGGCTTGATGGGCAGAGTTTCAGTTATCATTTGCAAGACACTTGGCACTTTAAATTACAGATATTGGATAGTTCATCATAAAATATCAAGGTAAGCAAGGCAGACAAGAAAATGACAAGGGCAAACATTGATTATAGCCTTCTTGAGAGGAAATAAAATGGTGCTCATTCCAAAGTTATTATTGCCCAATTTTCATGATTGTGCAAGGACATTAACATAATTGATGGAATTTATAAACATTCTGTGTGTATATTGGTTGTCATTTCTAGTAGGCCAAGAAAGTCTAAGAGTATTGAACATTCCACATTAGGCCATCACATCATGTCATACAAAATTGCTACTGCCAATCTGTGAGAATGAATCTTAGAATTTTGTTTGATATCAAGAGTTTGAGGGTAATGGTTTATTGTTCAGAAGTACTAATTGGAGTCCTGCAGTACTGTGGATACCTACATAAAGCCCTTGTATACTAAACATCATCCTCAACTGATCTTATTGGAATTTGTTGCTTTTGGGCCACTGCATTGAGTACGTAAACTAATTGATCAAGCTTCTTATCCATGACACACAACTGCAAAATAAAAATAATATAAATATTTTTTTATATTTAAAAGAATATATTGGAAGACTATAATTAACACATAATAAAGTTACCTGTTGTTCAACCCTGTACAATCGAGCTCCTATAGTCATTGGTTTGACATTTCCTGATCGATCAATACCTGCTAAGTAACTTCCAGGTTTGCCCAAAGTTTGATCAAGCCTCCTCTGTAACTCCTGCAACATATATGTTGTAAAAATGTTAAATAATTCACATGGAACAGAGAAAACACACTGGTAAAACTTTCCTTTCACTTAACTTTCCTCAAGCCAAAACATATTCAAAATTGCCATAGATCGCATTGTAGTAATACAATTCCATTTATAGCAAGATCTCAGGACCAGATTGACAACAATATATACAACATGGAATTGACATATATAAAGTAAGTTATTCAACACTATTCTTTATTATAATGCCAGTGGGCATAAATAATGTTACATCCATATCTAGAATGGATGGATGGTATGGAAGATGAAAAGGTGATTATGAAGAAATTATATGAATAATGATGGAGCTGTGAGAACGAAGGCAGGTTAAATAGGAGAACCCCAAGAAAACCTACCACAAACCTGCTTTGTTCACCACAAATTTGATATGAATCATAGGGGATTTGAGCATGGTCCCCAGGGATGTATCTAGCTTGGTGCTTCATACTGTAGAGCAAAAAATCCTTACAAACATACATCAAGCTTATTAACATTACCACAATACTACGTCTGATGTTGAATTTACTGGCTTTAGTCCCTTCGTGAGATCATTCTCATTTCTCGAAAAATATTGCTTGAAGAGACTAGCCACTGTTTCCATTTTGTTCTTTAAAACATCATTATTCATTAAAACAACATTCTTTACTAGGTTTCTACATTGTTACACATTGCTTTAGTTTTGTTGTTGGTGTTCAATAAATCCTGAACATATTTCATGATTTTAGCCTTCCTTATGACTTTTTGAAAACAATGATTTGTAATTTAGGTAATAGATCTGAAAATCTGGAGATTCTTTATGACCAGAAATGAAATAAAAAATTCGGTTAGTTTTACATTATATTTTAATCTCCCGAGTTATTCAGCTATGACTTGGCTCGTTCCTTGCTTCTAGGACTTACAATACGTTGTCGCCGGTCCGGATGGCCGTGTTCGTTAACGCAGAAGTGCCATAGCGATCTCGGGTTCGAGTCTCGTCTCGGGCGTTCGAATTTAGTTGATTTCAATATTGCTAGTATAAACTAGTAATAGTTCTTAACAATAAATGAATTGATACTGGCCAGTTGAACTAAATGTAGTGATTCAATTGTCCTTGATACACACAGATATTACGGAAAGAAACTGTAGGGAACTATCATTTATCGTATGTGACTTTAGAAATTAGTCCACACTTACGATGTGTAAAAAGCATTCTAGAAGTTTTGTGAGTTTCCATGAGGCTTGGTTCGTGTTCAGCGTTCTTTGTTACACAGCTGCATACCGTAGTTATAACATACAACAAAAATGAATTTTAGTAGATTAAATCAATAGTGCATATAAACATTGGCGCTATTAAAGTACTCTAGTGAGTGGCAGTTTCATCGAAATGTCTCACTTGACAGTTTCATCGAAAACGCAAAGAAGCGACGCTGCGCCTATCTCCTTTTTGCTCGCTTGTCGCGGCAGCCAGTTTGAATTTCGCGCCTGGAAGTATCATTTAAACTCAATTTTCGCGAAGACAATTTTTTTTCGATCAAAACTGGATCTGCCATTTTTCGTGAAAGTCAACATAGAATCTGAGTTATTTTTTTTGGATGGATGGAGCTTCTGAACACTGTATAATATTTCCCTTCACATATAGCTGTGAGTTATTCATGGAAGCAGCTCTGCTGAAATTTACTGCAGCTTCACAAAAACTAGAAATGATTGGGATGTTCTCAGGGACAGATTTAAGTATTGCGGGGCCCCCAAGCACAAAATTGTGTTGCTCCCCGTAAAAGTAGCTCCATCTTTATTAAATAAATCACTTTTCTTAATACATGTACTTTCTGTACAAATACAAATGAAAACTAATATTTTATATACAATTTTACTTCTATTATACTTATTAAATTAAATACATTTTATGTTACAAAATTTGTTATGCATATTTTTCCGAAGCACGCCATCCTTCATGAATGGAGGCCCCAAGCATCTACTTGTTTTGCTTGTAGGTAAATCCGGCCCTGGATGTTCTACTTGCAAATTGTCTTAGCGTTATAGTCCACTTATCGTGAGCTTAAACTGCGCGAGCGAAGATCTGGAAAGCAGCCTGCCCGCTGTCCGCAGTTAGCAGTAGATGCACGCGGAGTTGTAGATGTAGATGTGACCCCTTGGCTAACTCGGCAGCGACCGCGAAAGGCAGTGTGGAGGCGCCGGTGCACTGGCCAAGTGGGAAGGACTTGAAAGCCGCGCTCCCACATGAACGTTGATGATTATTGATACTGCGATTTTTGCTACTCTGCCTCTGGAAGGTTTCAGCTGTTTACATTTTCATCCACCCGGAAGCTTCAACGTCACCGTAGTGACGTCACTATGGTGATGGTCAAGCTCCCGATAGGACGAAACCGTCAACAGCTAATATCTTCCAGGGGCAGAGTTGCAAAAATCTCAGAACGTGTTTTCGTAACTTGCAAGTGAAAGAGTGTCTTTTGCGTACCGTTAAGGTGATTGGTCACTTGCACGCCCCGAAGAGAACAGTGGCGTGTGCTAACTGTGCAGGCTGAGACCTGGCAGCGTATGCACAAAGAACGGATTGGAATATTCGAAAAGATGTGAAATAGTGTATGGAGTTCTGGAAGGGTCCGTTTCGTAGCGTGGGATGCGACAGGCCTCGGCGGATGGAGCTGGCGAGAAGAAGTGGCGAGTTGCGTTGTTCAAGACTCACCAAGACATCGCGGGTTTCTAATTGGGTGACCGTCTAGGAACCCTGGAATCTAACCGAGGCTAATGACCCTTTACGGGACGTGATGGCTAAATAAAAAATACAAACTAACGCGGCGCGGTGATATTGTCATTCGCCATGTTCTCGCGGAAGTGAGCCGATTTTCTCTTGTTCATTAAGACAACTGATAAGAGCCCCTGCATTGTTTTGCCTGCAAATTTGTATTCAATATTTTAATAGAAGTCGTATTTTTCCGCGACCAGAGTCGAGATCTTGGTTGTCCGGTCGACGCCGCGTTGAAGGATGTGTTGCCGACGTTTCGACCATCTTCTCCTGATCTTCCTCAGGGCTGGTCTGCGCCGAAGTGGTCAGCGCTCGGGTTTATATATGGTTTATTTATTTATTGAAAACAACAACAACAACAACAAAGGAACTAAAAACTGTATGTGACGTATGGGGGAGAAGATCTGCGCACGTTTTCTTGAGTTCCAAAATCCCTTACCAACATTTTAACTATAGTGGAAGGATGAGTAAAAGTTAAAGATAAATAGATAAATAAAAATAATTTTTAAAAAAGCGTGAGATTTTAACATTCGAAAAACTAGACATTTTTGTTCCCGAGTTATAGAAAACGTATTTTGCAATGGTAAACAAACGAAGATTTGATTTTAATGCATTACTAACAAAATAGTAACTCGCCCTTACGTACTCCTAGTGCTACAAGCAAAAGGAGAGTTCAACAAAACGTGCGCATAATGGCTACATTACGTCTAGAAGCAAAAGAAGGGGCCATCTCAGCATTTGCTCAATGTATCAGGGAAACTAGACAAAACCAGATAGAGATGGGTGAGGTGGGCAGAGTATGATTGGCTGGAACTCAACTTGACCCCCTCCCGCGATTGACGGGCGGGCTTCTGATCTGCCAGGTGTTTCAGCCTATCATACTCGGCCCATCCGAACCACATATAAACCCGAGCGCTGAGCACTCCGGTGCAGGGCGACATCCTCAAAGCAGAGGATTGCGGCCGGAGTCCCTCAGGGCTCCGTCCTCTCTCCGCTACTGTTCTCACTGTATGTCAATGACATCCCACATATACCACGAATACGGCTTTTCCTTTACGCTGATGACATTGCTGTCCTAGCAAGAGGAATAAACATAGACCACAAATTTTAAATCCTTCAAAAACAGATGAACTTAACGATGAAGTGGGCAGAACAAAACCACTTAACTTTCTCAGCGGAAAGATCGCAGGCAATCTGTTATGCCCGTCGTAAACACAAATACATTAAACGTTTTACACCACCAAAACAAATTACACTTGTCACACAAAAACTGACAAGGGTGTCTAAGGCAACTTATTCAGGCGCCACATTTGATCGAAGGAATTTACATGTACAAGGTGGCATTTATTTGTCAGGCGAATTCGATCATAATTATAGCAAAGAGTTCGTCTTCTACAACATCTTTTGAGGGAACCTACACTCCCCTTGAAACTTCGCTTGGCACTCTATAAAACGTATTGCCAGTCTGAGGCCACCTATGCTGCAGCAACGTAATGAACCACAGCACAGAAGTACAAGGATACACTTGAGCTGGTACGGAACAAAATTCTACGGATCATAGCTCGCCCTCCGTTTCGGAAACGGTTGAAAGTACAGAGGAAGGAACTTGATATCGAGTCCTTCTCTCAATGCTTGAGACTGCTTTCGTTTAACGAAGCTTATCAAGCCTTTCAAACTGACAAAGCTCCGGCTACGCTTAAACAGTTAGCTCGACACGTCCTTACAATAGGGCAAAGAAGACAAGCACTCCCCTCTGATATTCTAAGGGCGTAGTGCAACACAAAAGACGATTTGGTTATTGACTAAGGTCCGACGCGAACTCACACCAGCCACTTACACATAGCAGTAAAACGCGAAATGCGTGCGCACTGCAACACAAACCTTCGGTTAAGCAAAATAAAAAAAATAAAAAAAAAAAAACCACGAGAAGATGGTCGAAACGTCGTCAACCCAGCCTTCACGCGGCGTCACCTGGGACAGCCAAGATCTCAATATTATACAAAACGTTTCTTTGTGGAATTGATTTGTTACATGGAACTGCAATGTTGCTGTAGCTGAGACATTTCCCCTATGTGCCAATATCAATATCCAGGAACCTCTTGGTACCGGATCAAAGTAAACTGGAAACAACTCTTTCATGAAAATCTGCTATTGGATGACGAAGTCACGGTCGATGAAGCTGCAAGAGCTGATCTTCCTTCTGCTATTGTACTCGCATTGCGCGCCAAAGTTAAACCATCACACCCGCAATTCACGCGCACTTCATTCTCTCGTATCTGGTTTGAAATTATTCCAAGAAACTGTGGCGCAATTAGGACTCACGAGAATAATTACACAGGTGCATAAAATAAAAGACGTTGTCAGACCCAAAGACTTGGCACATGTTTCTCTATGTATTTCGATGTACTGAATCTGAATCTGAAGCCAGAATTGCGCCATCACCCTCCATTTTTTAAAATCTTTAATTATTTTTAAATCGCGAAAACCACCATGAAATTGCATTTTTTCTTACACCACCACCACCACCTTTCAATTCTTTTAAATCGCAAAAAAACATAGAGAAAAATTTATTTTTTTGTTTTCGGGTATTGTTGCCAGACCCGAAGACCTGACACTGCAAGCGAAGTTTCTCTCGACGTGCGGAATCCGAAACTCAAGCCAGAAGTGTACCACCACCCTCCAGTTTTTTAAATCGCAAAAAAAATCAAAATTACAATCTAGAATTTCACGGTGTTTTTTCGTGATTAAAAAAAGGAAGGTGGTGGCGTAATTCTGGCTTTAAATTCGAATTTAGCGGGTCGACATATATAGTCATACAAGATGGTGGCGCAATTCTGGCTTCAGATTCGGATTCAGCGAGTTGAAATACATAGAAAAACATGTGTCAAGTCTTTGGGTCTGGCTACTTCTTTTATGCGTCTGTTATGTATTACACATATATGCATTTTATATTTACTACTTATGTCCATAATTAAAATATTTAAATAGTGAAACGTTTGGGTTGTAGAAGGATCATGAATGGTGTGAGCCGTCACTGTTGTCCAATATGCTGAATATTAAACTCAAAACCAAATCTTACAATAGTAAACAATTTAAGAAAAATACAGTATGGTTTGTACAGTATACAATATCCATTAAAGTAAAATGCCACTTTCAGGGAGAGGGCTAAACACTGCATGCTTCTCACTTAAGGATATTGATGAATAATTCTGATAAAGGGGTGTGTATACAGTATATATTCATTCAGTTTTCTACTTATTTTAAGTGCCATTACGTGTCGAGAGGACGAGAACGTTATTAAGGAAATCTCTGTAGCTATTAGGGTAGGGGAATTCAAAAATGATTTAAAACTAAGAAAATTAAGTATAAAACATAAATATTTTTTACCTTTATGCGAACCATCATGTTCAAATGCCCTTGACTATATTGTTCAATTACATCACGAACATCATACGGTTTTCGAGCCTGCTGAAATTTCCTCCTTGCAACAAAATACTTTATTTTGCGAATTGCTCTGATGGCATTACGATGTGCTTCAGTCAGTCTAAAAATAAAACACAAACATTTATGATAACGAATTTCATAATTAGAACAACATTAAAATGTACAATATTAATAGAACAGTTTTCAAATATTAGAAGGAAAGTAACAAAAGAAAGATTTTCGAAATAAATATTTAATAACTTTAACATCTTACACATCTAACACAAAATACATGGGAAAAGACAATAAAACAATATAAAATTGAAGAAAACAGAATATGAAAGCACACTAAAATTTAAACATCGGCCTATAAAATATATTTTATTTTTTTACATCAACAGTTAGGTTACCTGAGAGGGTTGATTTCGTACTTTTCTAGAAGTTCTAGTTTTCTCTCAATCGACTCTTCATTAATCCTCAAGAAATGCATTACATATTAAAAACATTAGAATTTGAGTTTAGGGAAATAACTATATTATTACAAAATAGTATCTTCTTATTAACACACATTTTTTAGATAGTTCAAAAATAGTCCTATGCTTATTTTTGAAGTTAATGTCTCCGTCCATATCGAAACCCTTCCCCTACAAAATGAGATTTTTTGAGATGTGTCATTTTCCTTTGGAACCGATATGTCCAAATTTCTAAATTTAATTTTTTTCTTGTTGTCGTTATATTGTGTGCAGAGAAGGATTGATTAATCACTCTTTAAATAAGTTATGTAATTAAAATTAAATTGAAACACAGTGATCTAAATACTCGTATTTTTGAATGTACAAATTTAAACACACACAGTTTATTTAAAGGCCTTTTTAAGCAAATAATACAAAACAGGACTCATTGGATGTAGCGATTACCTTTTTGGCAGCATTTCTTTATTATAAAAGATAATGGGCGAACTTCTCTTTTTTAAATTAAAATTATATATTTTGTTTCACCACTGGATGTATCTTGAGAATACACATTCAGCAAAACCATATATTCTGGATTTGATGAACATTTAACAGCAAATTAATAGTTGTGGAATTCGCAGTCATCGTGGGTATTTGGCTCGGAGTGGCGTCGGACCGGCCTAATGCGAGCTGTGACCTCTAAGCCATGTGTAACGTACTAGTGAGCGAACCTCGTGGCAGCCATTTGGGGAAGCACAGTAAGGAATTAGCAACAGGAAATCGCCTCGCCACAGGAGGGAGAGAAGGGTTTTTCCTAAAAGCAAGCACGTGGCAAAGGGGTCCTCCGGTCTTAGGGAACGGAGACCCAAACCTCAGGGCAAGCAGAAGTGCGCTGCGGAGGCGGCGTGAAGTTACGTAGGTCACGCGCGCCTCAACTATATAAGAGAGTGTACAGAGTCAGTGGGTGAGTTTTGGAGGCAGTGGGAGGACCTCGTGCAGATGCTCAAACGTTGCGCCACGGCGGTGCAGCGGCGAACAGGGCACGCGAGGCAAGTTACGTGTTGACGCGCCGGTGGGGGCTTTGTGTCCTTGTGTGACTGCAGTCACGTGGGAGCGATGCTGTGTGCATGCTCCGAGGTGAGGAGTGGTTGAGAGCCACGACTCGCACCGATTCTCAATCGGGTAAGATCGCTCCTGCGATAATGGCAAACCATCAGTTGGTGCGCCGGTAAGGACTTCGTGTCCTAGTGTGATATCCGGTCACGGAAGCTTGGCTTTGTGCGTGTTTCAGATGTAGGAGTGGCGAGTGCCTCAATTGACACCGATCATCAATCGGGTTGGGATCGCTCCCGCGATCAGGGGATGGGAGGTCTATCAGAGCTAGGGTGTAGTAAATTCATTATAAATATTTGTTGTGTTTTTCTTGTAAATAAATATTTGTTTACTTTTACTTATTGGACTTCTGGCGTAGAAGTTGCTGTTATAGCAGACGTGACAGAACCAGAAACGACGACATAAGAAAGAAAATGGATATAAAGAAATCTATCCTTGACGAAATAGAGAAAAAAACAAATCGTCTGGTACGGTCATGTTATGCGAATAACAGACGAAAGATGGCCCAAACGAGTCCTGAAATGGGTGCTGACAGAAAGAAGAGAGGAAGACCCAGACCTGCATGGCAGCAGGGAGTGCAAGAGGCTATGACGGCAAGAGAAATGCGAGATGATCTATGGTCCAATAGAGAGGCATGGAGACTGAGAGCGGAGAAACGGCGACAGCTGTAGAGCAATATACACACACACACAAACACACACACACACACACACACACACACACACACACACACACACACACACACATATATGTATATTGCTCTACAGCTGTCGCCGTTTCTCCGCTCTCAGTGTCCATGCCTCTCTATTGGACCATATATATAATCCGCGCTGCTGGTGGGGAGGCGAGGGAGAAAGGGCTGTGGCCTAGCGAAGGGGAGAGGCACGCGGCCCACTTGGCGCGCCCCGGGCCCCCTTGCCTGCGGCTGCTGCCTGCGGCGTGGTCCGCTGCTTGTTGAGGCAGCTCGATGGCGTTGCTGGTGGGGAAACGAGGGAGAAAGGACTTCCGAAACTAGAGGCGAGCGGGCCATTGGAAATCTTGCATGGGAGCATGCTTCTTGGCCCGAAATCTTGCGTTAGAGAAGCCCTGCTCTAAACGACATACGGCACCACAGAATAAAAGAAGCAGTTTATAAATCGCGGAAGACACGTTTCTTGCTTAGCGTGAAAAGTAAGCGAGTTTACTAAGAAATAAAACATTATTTCAGCGTCGAAATGTCGTATCGCAGGTAGCTTCCAATACTTTTCTGGATGGCGGTCTCGATAATAGACCTCGTTTTGCAGTGTATTATTCCCGCAGTATACCATCTTGTAAGTACTGGCCAGGTGTTGATAAACTAGATGAGATTTCTACCGTCGAAAAACTTAAGCGTACGAAATGCTGATGAGGGGTTTGAACATTATTTCATCCATTATTTGCATTCCCATGTGGCAGAAATTTAACTTAATGATGACAAATAACTGCGATATGCTTAATACATAAGTGAATGTAGGCATCCTCCAAGCACACACTTCTTATTGCCGTTTTGTCTAGGAGTTCCTTATTCGAGCTATTGGTGGATACTGAGTCTGAGGTACATATGTACAGTGAACTCCATTGCCGTGTCCCTACTAAGGATTCGTAATGTGATTGCCTGCGGCTCTAGATCCATTTCAGACCTTCCATAGAACTTGGAGTCATTAATCTAGAGAAGGCGGGACTAGGACTCGCCTTCAATATTTGATATCCAAATTGTGTGCAGCATTCCTGCTTTTGAGAGATATTCTTAAGCTCATAAAAAGAGCAGCGGACTTCGGAGGAATATTCCTCAGCGAACCCTAAAATACACAAAAAAGTGTTATTTACCCCCAAGGCGTTTTCTAGAGGTGCAAACATGCTTGGAGGAACATTACAATCTTTTGAGAAACACTTAAGACTCTTAAGTCCTTCAATATACATCTGTGGGGCAGAGTCGTAAGTATTTTTGAAGTATATCCAAGTGTACAAATTAGTGAACTCTGTATTCCATTGTTTAAAATATCATAATAATGATCAAATCTTCGTTGGTTCCTTAACCCATTGCTTGTTGTGCCGTTTACCTTGAATGAACATAGAACATTGTTTTCTTTTCTGACTGGCTGCAGAAGTTGGAGATTTTGAAGTGTGCATAAGCATCAGTATTTATCAGTTATATCAGTTAATATTTTTATTATGAGTAGCTAATCGCCACTGACATTAAGATTTTGAACCACTTCCCAAACCGGCATGGTATTGTTTTCTGATATTGAGACTTTTTACTAGCAGGTTTTTGATGTTTACTTATAAGGGACCTTTCAACAGATTGAGGTCAAAATCTGTCCTGATTTTTTCTACTGAAATCTATGAATATGTGCTATGAAAAAAAATAGCTGTCATGGCGCAGGGGAAGTTACTAAAAAAATTGTGTTGGTCGCGCTGTTTGGCTCATTAATTACAAAAATTTAAATCAATCAATCATTGGCATTCGAGTCACCCAAATCCGTATTGCCGAGCGAAATAATGACAATCGCAGCATTTTTTGTTTTTCCAGCTAAATCACCAGGGGACACCAGTGTGAATTATGATCTAAAATGTGTATGAGGGTTACCGGGGTGTATAACAAACGCGTTCAACAGAACCCTTATACACTAATATGTTTCAGTGAATAATAATCGAAGATTGGTAAACAATAACTAAACTTGGATGCCGCAGCCACACTTTGGCATCACATTGGGTTTCTGTTTCTCAAAGTCGAAGAACTAGTGACCGGAAAAATAGGCGCTGTGCGGACTTGTAAGACAACAAAGTTAACAAAGCATGGTATGCAACTTAGTCCGCTGTGTCTGATGTCCGCGAGAGCGACGGCGAGAGGGTAAGTGAGGGGGAGGGAGAGATCGGGGGAGGGAGAGAGCGAGGGGGAGGGAGACAGCGAGGGAGAGGGAGAAGGAGAGGGCGAGGGTGATGGTGATGGCGAGGACGAATGGACAGTGGAGGGATAGGTCGAGTTGAAGTGTGAGGGCGAATGCAAACGTCACAGAAGCAAAAGCTTCTCGGGACGATTGCCCGCCGCCCTCAGCCCAGTCACATCCGTCGCCAGCGCACCGCTTTGTTTTCTTACTTACATTGTGACTCTCTGAGGCTCTTCTATGTCGATGTCGATTTCGTCAGAGGCAGCCTCCGTTACGCTGCTCGTCTGACTTGTGAAAATGGACCCTCTGCATTCTCTACGTACACGATTTGGGGTACCTAAAGAGAAAGAAAAATGTTCGCCTATACCATGTGTTGACCTTTCGATAGGTTTTGGCAATCTAATTAGCACATTGTTTCTTATGTACACAACTATATATAGAGTAACATAACAATAATGCATTACATAACAATAAGACCATACAACAGCAATAACAAGCAAAACAAAGAAAGAAGTAAGTTACAGAACACTGGCTTCTAAAATTTAGCAATTCCATACACAATAAAATGATTTAAAGAAATTACAATTTATGGATAAAGGTGGGAGGAAAATGAGCGCAATAGTATTTCCCAGCATTTGTTTTTACTACTCTAGTAGTACTATTCATATTCACTGAAAATTATGAGTGACCACGTCTACTTACATACCGTTAAGAAGGCTGCAAAACTTTGTCATTGGTTACATCGTACTGATGTACTAGCAATGTACCTTCTGCTCTGTCCCATCCAATCTCAGGTAAGCATCGCTGCAACTGCTGCATGCCACTTCACCATACTTATAAAGTTTCTATTACGTCATCAATATATTTTCGTATAATACCACACCCAGCATGCCCGTTTACCAATGTATAGTAACTTGGGTGGTAGTTTGGGACACATTATTACTTTTACAAATTTACTAATATTATTACTCAGATAGGAATGTGCAAAAAGCACCTCTTGGACAAGGATCGACAAATTTTACATCTGAAGAATCAAAATAATCTCATGTTCAAGGAACGAATTTTGATTATCTAAAAGTTTTAAAATTTTTTATATAATGTCAGAAAAAAATCTTGAAAATACCAAAAAAATCACCTTCCAATATGATCAAAGTAAATATGTTTTCATATGTGTACATCTAAATTACTTGAAAACGTTTTACACGGGGCGGGTCTGAATGTCGTGACATGTCTCCACCTATTAATCCAAAATTAGTTAATTAATAAAATTATTAAAAATAATATTTCAAAGTAATCGGAGAAAGTGGGATATATTGAGCACCATATGCTGGCCATAACTCGTACTATTTGGTATTTCCTATTTGATGTTATGAGAATGCCGGAGGGCGGTAATAGGTCGAGGGTCAACACAGAATAAATTGCAATGACGTTTTGTGTCGAGTCGTTCTGGTGTGAGAGCACAGTTCCGAAGTGCGATTGTACGATCTCAAAAATAGTGGGATGAATTTAGGAAGACTTTTTATCCCGTAGTTTACAAAATGATATATTTTTGGACGTTCTGTTACGTTTCTGGAAGGTTCGCTCACCCCGTAACATAGGTTACCAGAAGTACTGGAAGGTAGGTTTTAGTGAGATGCTATTTTCACTTTTAAAACAATGATTTAAAACGTGATGCTTGTTTGGAGATTAATTTTTTTGCGAAACATTTTTGGGAGCCCTTAATTACATTTTTTAGAGTTTTCGTTCTTGTGGGTACACTACCTATTCAGTACTTCTCGTTTCTTCCGCTGGGCGAGCCACTGCTCTATTCGCCGCCGAAACGTTTGTAAAAGCATTTCGTAATAAAAAAATTGATTTTTTATTTGCTGTTTAACTGTCTGTTTATTGTGTGCGGGAACATGCGATGAAATTGTGGGGAAATATGGGGAACGTGTGAGGGAATACGGAAGAATATGTAGTGGAACATGCGGTAAACATGTGAAGAAATCTGTAGGGGATCATATAGCTTGATCATGCATCATGAACATGCGGGGAAACATTTGCTGTGCATACGGGAAACGTGCCGAGGTACATGCGAAGGTACATGCGGGAAACATGTATGAACGCATGTAAATACATCATGTGGGAAGCATGCTGGTGGAAAGCGGGAACATATGAGGAACGTGTGGGGAACATGCGGGGAACGTTTGGGGAGAAATGTTGGGAAACAGGGCGGCCAAGCGGAGCCCGAGTTTTGTTTGTTTGAGCAATATTCTACAAAATGAGACCCGTTTTAATTTTCTTTTTTATTTCTGTGTCAGTGAAGTTTTAATTAACTTTGTGCTACGATTTAAGTAGAAATTTTCTAGCCAGCTACCGGTAGATTTCTTAACTTTTTAGTCACTTTGTAGTCCTCTTTTGTCAAAAACAGTTGCCTAAGAATAAATATTACAAACATCGAGAGCATGTAGGTGGGTCGAAGGTGATAACTTTTGTCAATATGCATATTGATTAGTAGAAAATTTTGAATTATGATTTTCTTATAATTTGGGCATTTGCTTCTGATTGTTAGGTATCTTCTCGCACTGGTGTTCGGCAGGCAAACGAATACTCTTTCGCTGCGCCAAAACCGGGCCTGTTTTGGTTTCACACATTTGCACTTATTTGTATTTCTATATGGTATTCGCCAGTAGTTCAAAATTTAGAATGTGTTTTACATTTCATAATAGTACCTTTTTATATATTTTACGTGATTCTAAAAATCATTAAATTCGATAAAACTCGGAATATTTGGAAACAACTTCTTAGTTACGAGCATTGTCACCACCCCACTATGGTTTCTGAGAAGAGATTCTGTGGCCAAAATGCAATTTTTCAACTTTCATAAATGAACCCTCTGTGCTCCATAACATAATGTCAATTGCCAGTAAATACATTATAGCTAACTGTTTTGCATTCACTTTGTTGATTGTTGGCTCTCCTGTTTCGAGGCACACGTGTTATGTCGGAACTTGGCGTATCCGTTCGGCCTCAGCGTCGAGCCAAGACGGAATTTAAAAATGTTTTCATGTTTATAGTTTTTACTTTGAAATTGGTCATTTTGTTATCAACCAGGAATGTATTTTTCATAGCAATTAGTTTTAATGCGCAATTCAGTTCAGAGTTCCATAAAATCGATTCATTATTAATTGTTGTGAATTATAGTTCTATTACTAATATCCTCACAATTTGAATTGACTTTTAAAAAATTGACGGGGTTTGACGGGTCTCGGTTATGACCTATTCTGTGTGTAGGTTATTATAAACAATTTTTCAACAAGTTGCAGCTGCTACGAAGTGCAACTCTTGACAAATTATTGCTTTTTCTCCCTTACGAATGTCAGAAGAGAAAGTATTGTATTCGTGTGCCGGTAAACGGAGAATTTTCGACAGAAAATCTAACTTTCGGGACCTGGTTACGAAAACTAAGATAAATACTGTTCCTAAATATAGTAAATTATTTCCTCTAATATGTGATGTAGCCAGCCATACATGTTTTTTGGGTCTTTGATACCGAAAAATTGATTAACGGCAAAACGTTTGTCCTTCACTACGTTTGGGGTGAAAGCTAGTGCCTAAAGCGTTCGGCCGATTTTCTCCAAAATTGATATTCACCGATCGATCTGGACGAACTCAAGGCTTTGGGAGTTTCAAACGGATATTTTGGTTTTCGAGGGTACTTTAAATGAAGCCTCAAAAAATTATTCAAAATTTTCTCAAAAATTCCTCCAATTTTTTTTATAAAACCTTTATCCTCGGATAGGTAAAGGACACGTAAAATAATAGTGCAGGTCTTGTTTGTTGAAATCCCTAATTTGTCAAAATGTATAAAAGTGCAATTTTTGGATTTGTTACAACTACAATTTGAAGATAATTTTTACCATAATGAAATCTGTTCTCTAATGACAGATCTTGAAAAAAGGCCATGTTCAATTTTTCGAAAATGTGAGTAGTTTTTGTGAAATTTTGAGCGAAAGATAGGTAATTTTAATTTTTAAAAACAATTTTTGTCTCAAAAACAGCACCGAATTTTTACTTTATAATTTCTCCTCGTATGTATCAAGGGGCGGTAAAAAATACGGTTCTAGTATCATTTTTGACGAAGTCTTCATATGTTGGAAAGTTGCACAAAGTTAACATTTAATCTATAAAACTATAAAACATAAATCTATAAAACTAAGATGGCGATTTTCTAAGATGGCGAAAGTTTGTTGTAAAAATTGGCTCTTTAAATATGGTAATTTATAATTTTTTGATAAAACAAGTTATTTTCGCTTAATTTGTGCTTGAAATTAATGCAATTTATAAAAAAAATCACAGAAACTTCTCCAAATTCTTTCTTCAAATTATTTCCACGGATAGAAAGGTTGCTTAAAAAATGGCGCAGATGTCATTTTGGTTGAACTTTCTGAATTTTCAAAAATGGCTAATTCAGAAATAATGCGGGAAATTATGTGCTGTTTAAGCGCCAGTGTTTTTTTAGATTCGCATCGCTTCTGAACTGAGGATTTATTCGATTTGTGACGAACAGATCGTAATAGATCTGAACAGATAACGCTAATCTATGAATATATAATTCAGAAAATTGTAAATAAAGCAAATTCATCGAACGAAGAGAAAATTAGGTACAAAATGTGCCGTTTATGCCAAAATTTTGACGAAAGGCGATGTAAAGATTTTAGGTTCATATTACTGAAAATATTCTATCAGAAAAAAAATTGTTTGGTTCAAGACTTCTTCATTAAGATAGAACCAATACTGACATTTATGTTCCCAAGCTAATCGTCTTCGTCTTAGAGCAAAAAGAAGGGAAACTTTGCAGTGATCAAACGAAATTATGCGTAAGTCTTTTATTTTGCAAGCAGCGAATATTGCTGCACATCAAGAAAGGAACCGCGAAAACGGCAGTTATAAACAAAATAGAATATAAACATATTAAAATTTTGAGAAGACAGTTTTCAAGAGAAAAGAATCTTGTACTCATATGAAGAAAAGGTGGAGATTATTTTAGAAAACAGTTTACGTATTGAATATAAGGAGTATTTACTTAAGATAATACTTTAAGAAGGCCCTGATATTTGAAACAATGTAGTATCTATCCCGCCTGAAAAAATAATAATTGGAATTTAAACTCTATACGTAGACCTCAGGGTGTTCTAACAAACGACCTAGTTGTGGAACTTCCTATAAAAATATTTTGGAACACACAAAGAAACGAATAGTTTTTTGCTAGTGTGTTAATAGTGTTTTACATGTCATTCTGTGTACTAGACTTCATGTTAAATGTTAACAATATTAATGCGGAAATTATGTGCAGTT